CCCCAAAACCCCAAAACCCCAAAACCCCGAGAGATAGAAATTATATATAGGATGATAATCTGGGAATAATAATAATTTAATTGATAATGAGAAAACTAATAATATTACTGGCAGCTGGACTAGTAGCTTCTATTTCCCTAGCTAAGGATAACAAACCTCCCGCTATAAAAGAGGAGAAGGCAGGAATGATCACTTCATTTAGAAAGGAGTTCCTAGATGATTATAGAAATCAGTTGAACACTGAATTCTTGGAGATATTTAGACCATTTATCTTTCCCTCAGAGGACGAAGTGCATACCATTTAATTCAAAAACTTGAGTATTTAAATCTCATCTCTAAACATCACTCAGTCCTATTTCGATCAAAATAAGACTATCATTAATTTCCATGAAAAGAAACCAAACTTTGAAATCAAGCTTAGCAATTCAACTGTTGGTATTAGTTTCAAATATAAAATTATGAGATATGCTGATCACCCTGAGCTTGAGAATAGTTCTGGATCAGGATTTGTAAAGTTCATTAACGCAAATATCACTTTACTCTCTGACTTCAAGATTGATAAAGCTATTTTCTTACCTTAGATCGAGGAGCTTTCTTTGCTTTATGAGGATATTGATTTGTAATTAACTCAAAATGCTTTAAAACAAGGTGATACTGATGACGAACAGAAGCATACCGATGATAGTGATATATCTTAATTCATAAACGAGATCAAGGAGATGATTAAGAAGACTTATGTAGGCAAACTATCTAAAGACTAGTTAAGTCTGTTGCAAAGCTATATTAGTGCTGAGATTCTTGACTTCCCCAGCAAATTTGACATTCAAGATGTGAATTTGACTTTGGATTTAGGTCTCATTGGAGATGGCGTGATAGTTACTGATAATTATCTTTCTATTATCTAAGATGGATCTTTATCCTTCAAGGGAATAAACCAAACAGGTCCTAAAGACTACACATAGATGCCCATTCATGCTGATGGTGGCCAGGATCTCCAAGTTTTTATTTCTTAATACACTCTTGGAAAAATGATAGAGGCAGCTGTTGAGTTAGATTTCTTCAAATACTATATTGCCAACCAGACTACTGACAATATTGACTCAATCATTTCTGAGTTTGAGGATTCTTTTGGCAGACATGACGACAACTCAATTCTAATGGAGGGCATTAAGAACATGACTCTGCACAGGCCCACAGTAAAAGTAGAAACTGATAAGACTACTATAGAATTCTATGCTGAGGTGCACATATTGAACCCCTTCGAGAAATCCTACGATGTTGCACAAGTTGACATGAAACTTACCTCTGGCATTAAGTTCAAAATAAATTCTGATTTCATGATAACCGGCTATCTCGACACTCTTAACATGGATGTGGTTTAATTCTTGCCATTTTACAATACTACTACTCAGGCTAAAGATATCAAGACAAGAGTTGGGTTCTTAGGTCCTTTGATCTAGTCTTACTGTAACTAAAAGCTAGATGATGGGCTATAAATCCCCATTCCTGATAGTCTAAAGAAATACATTAAGAACTAAAAGGTTTACAACAAGCATGGCTATCTATTGATGGATGCTGACATTGATTTCAGAAACTTTGATTTGCCTTATAATGAAACTGAAAACAAATAAGATAATAATTCCACAATTGATTCATCTTAGGATAATAATGACTCTAATACTGATGATAAAAATCAAAATAGTGATACTGAGACTACATTTGTTCAAAGAAGACTGAGATAACTCTAAGATCATTAATACAGAAGTGATGAAGAAGATGAAGAAAGCCATGATAATAATTAAAAAGCCAGAGGGTCTAAGCATAGATTTAGCCCTAATGAGAGAAAGGAAGCTTAGGATAGATTTTACTTATTAGTGGAATAAGTATATGATGTCGATATCAAGAATGGCAAAAATCCACCAACTAAAAGAGAAGAGCTTATGAAGTCAATGTTTGAAATTTACAGAGCTAATGATTCTAGCAATGCAACTGCAAACTGGACCCCTGAAATGAAGGAGACACATAAGCAAATAAAAGAGGATTTCAAAACGGGTAAGCTCTCCATCAAAGATCTTGATGTCATGAAATTGGCTGAGATTGGACTAAAAGTTCTTGAGAGTAGCTTCAAGAAAGTCGAAAAGGAAATTGAGCAAGTAGGTTAAATCATTGAAAAGGAATTCGAACGTGATGTCAAAGTTCTTGGAAAAACTGAGAAAAATGTGGAGAAATTCTTCAGAGGCATATTTGGTGGATGAAATCTATTCTCGCAATGTTAAAGGAATATTTCATTAAGATCTAAATAAAAATAGAGAAATTTTAATAGTAAACTTAATGTCTTCTGATTAAATTAAGCAAGTCATTCCCATTTTTAACTTCCTTTCTTTGTGGTGGCTACACTGCCCCCGTATTCATCTGCATTAGTCTTTCTAAAGATATTTGTATTTGAGGCTAAATCTGCTTCATCTACTTCTTGATCATACTCTCCCTCTTCATCTTCTCTGAAAGATTGGTTTAGTGCCTGGTTACCATCATTGCCCCCTGTTCTTTTAGAAGCAATACCAGCTGAAGTCCTACCCTCATTTCCTCTGCTCGCTCCAGCAACTCTCCAGTTGGATGCAGGCTACCCTGTATTCATCTTAGAGAACATAAGTCTGAGCACTCTTTCTCTATCTTCCCAATCCAAATCAGCTAATTCTACCTGTCTCTTTTCATTCAAAACTTGTGATGACCTCTGATCCCTTTCAAAGTTTGATTTCCCGAATTTGCCTTATGGATCAATAAGAGGTAGGAATTAGGGTTATTATGGTTGACTTACCAAACCCTGTGCCAATAGTTTTCTTCTTTTCTCCTCCTTAACCTACTCCAAAGCTTCCAAGAAGAATTGCTCTATGTCACTTCTCTAATCAAGAATCATCTGGCATAAAGCCTTAAGATTCTTTATTTCTTTGGATTTGAGTCGTATACTTTCCCTGAGAGTTCTGATCTCTTCACTCTGTTCTTTGATGATTTATTCATTTTGGAACTTAAGAAGTTCTTTTTCTTTTTCAAAGTTCTAGACTATATCGCTGAGTCTCTTTTCAAGTAGCTCAATCTTGGTTTTGAGCATCTTTATCTTGTTATTCTACTCGTATTACTTTTTAGCATACTCTTCTACAGTCTCCTGCTTGGATCTGAGATCATCATTGTACTTTTTATTTTCATCTCCTAGATTTCTGTTTCTCTTTTCCATGAATTCCAACTCATATTACTATAAAAGAACCTCATCCTCAAGTCTCTGATTCTAAGCTTGAATATTTCTCTCAATCTCACTGATATTTTTTTCTGCATCGCTTTGTGCTCTTTTCTTGAAGTCCTCTAAGAATTTGGCATACTAGTCTTCGATGCGTTACTTAAGTCTAACTTGCTCTAATCTACCTTGTTCCTTGAGATTCTATAGTTATTTCTAAAGCTGCTCGTATCTCATTCTTTCAGCTTCAAGTTCATCTTCTTTCTAACGATGATTCTTTTTAAAGTTGTCTAGCTGTTACAAGTCATCTGAAAGATCATTCATTTAATGCTCAGTGTGGTATATCTCTGCTTCTTATTTCTTTGTAAGTTCATTCAGTTGTCTCTGAAAATTCTCTCTCAGCTGCTCATTTATTTTATCTGAATTCTATTCTAAGTCCTCTAGTTTTTTCATGTTTTTAGCAATCTTCTCTGCTTTTTCATCGACCTGAGATTGCAATGTTCTTGTGATTTTTAGCTTTTCATCATCATGAGCTTTTATTTTTTAATCGATTCTTTCCTTATCGATCATACTAATGTGTAAGTTGAGAATATGATTAAATTATCACTTACAGCTGCTTGATTCTTTTCTCTTTTTCATTTAAATCCATATTCAAAGAGGTGATATCACTACATTTATGCGATTAGAATATGATTTATTTACAATGCCTTTTTATTTTCTTCAGACTCAAAATTCTCTGCCATTTTAGAAATATTTCCTATTTTAAATTTCAATAAAAGACCTATTCATTTGAACTATTTTATTTCATGGGGTTTTGGGGTTTTGGGGTTTTGGGG